GGTCGTCTTACTTCACCTTTCCCTAGATTGGTGTAAGTTGTGGTAACACTAGCAAGTTGATGTCAGCTACAATGAAACTAGTAGGTTCGTGTAAACTACGGTATCACTAGCAAGTTGATGTCAGCTACAATGAAACTAGTAGGTTGGTGTAAACTGTGGTATCACTAGCAAGCTGATGTTAGCTACAATGAAATCTAGTAGGTTGGTGTAAACTGTGGTATCACTAGCAAGCTGATGTCAGCTACAATGAAACTAGTAGGTTCGTGTAAACTATGGTATCACTAACAAGCTGATGTCAGCTTCAATTAAACTAGTAGGTTGGTGTAAACTGTGGTATCACTAGCAAGCTGATATCAGCTACAATGAAACTAGTAGGTTGGTGTAAGCTGTGTTATCACTAGCAAGTTGATGTCAGCTACAATGAAACTAGTGGAGCACTGTAAAATCACATATGGGAATAGCTTTATAAACGTTGTTTACCGATTATCCTCTTACTATACCATGCTTTTGAATTGTTGTTGTCGTTAGATGTCGTTGTGGTTGTATTTTGCAAAGGCTCGGTAAAGATTTAACGTTTTTAACTAACTTCTTATTAGTCATATATATTTTATATAATTTTGGTATTAACAGATAACATTAACTAGCAAAATGAACTATAAAAGGCAGTGATGGTGTATATCTAAACTACGAAAAATGAAAACCTTTTAGGGTCAAGATATGTCTCAAATAACATGTTAAAACGTCTGTCTTTTTACCCATAATCCTTTCAGTTAGTTCATTAAGGAAGTTAAATATGAGATAATTATTACTTTAAAAGCACTAATTAAGGTTATTTTATGAAATAATATCTCTAATGATGACTTTTTCAAATATCTTGGACAAAAAAAAACTATCATGCTTTGACAACTTTAGGATACAGGACTATAACATTTAGTTTCAGAATACATTTATAATTAGATAATGAATCCTAGACAAAGAGGATCATGGACATTGACCTATTAAAAACTAGTTTTATACTTCTGTTATGTAATTTCAAACCCGTAATGGGTTGACTAAGAAGATGAGCATAGGAGGAGGTATAGTCTTACCTACTTTTTTCAACAGATTATCGCAGACATGCCAAGTCTCACGAAATTTGTTTCATTGCCACGCCCTCAGAGCCCAATGTGCATATCTCACTCATGTTTAAGTAACCTAAACCTTAAGTATCTCGGTCATTATAGAGTCTTGTGGTCAATGAAAAGTCATTCGGAGAATAATCTCTCTCCCACTGGCTTTGTTATTTTCTAGAGAGCACTTTGAATGAAAATGTAAACATTTCGAAACAATTCACCTTCATGCTTGCTTGTCATAGCAGTACAGACTTCCTGAGTGTTTCGTTGATTTTCTTAACTCGTGCACTCATAAGTTGTTTTTATTATGACGTTATTATTAAGTTATACTTCACATCAGCTCGTTTTGTTTGGTGTGATTTTGTATTTCCTTTTATGTATAGTGTTGGTACTATTACTAATAAGCAAACAACCTTGAAGCAGATCTAGTTGGACGACATTGAGGATGAATCTGTTGTATTAGTAACAAAGGAAGATAAAGTCAGGAAAAGGAATTTGACTATTATATAATACAGTCAATAAATCTCTGATAAATTACGATAGCAATTGTTTCTTCTATAGTATGAAAATATTAAGCCTGTGGTGTCTGTATGTCCACTAATGTTTCACAATGTATATTTATATCTGTTTTTATTTCAGGTGTATTAAACTTACTAGACTTAATGTGACATTTTAGTCCTTGAAAATGCACCATGTACCGCTCTTTCATGCCCATTAGTCTCTTGGCATCTCTGTAAATGTCATAATATAAAAATAACTGTAAACGTGTGGAAGTAAACGCTGAATTAATAAAACACTGTGTCTCATGTATCAACACTTTTTGGAAGTCATTTTGATACATTCAGATTTTTTTCACTCTTAATAAGCCTTAGCCAAAGCTGTTTTGTGGCTTATTCGAATAAATAGTAGCCATCTATCTGTTTCTTAGACTTAGAAAAAAAGACACAATTGTTACAGATAGGCTTAACCATATTGTCTCTGAACTATAATGAAAAACTGCAATAAAACATTTCAAAAGTCTTAGCTTTTAGAAGCCAATTTATTTTCTGTGCCTCTTCTTCCATAAGAATAATCACAAGGTTATTAATTATTGGTTGCAATCAAAGTGGACACAAGGCTAGAGGAATAATTGTAATTGCTATTCTATTTCACTACCACTTGAATTATCTGGATCAAACTGTATATTAAAGAGACGATATATTATCCCCTTTGGCAAGGAAATATTAAAAGAATTTTTAAAACAAAAACAGAAATCGAAGAGAAAACTAAAGGGCAATTAAGGTAATAACCATCATCTGGATTAACTTATGTTACTCTTCCAGATCCTTAATGGCTGAGTATTACTTGGATTACGTTTACGTCATTACAGTAGGAAAATTACAGGGAAGCAATACGTCGTCACATATACCACATTACTACTATCTCCAAAGCTGTCAGCTTTTCCATTTCCCATGGCTGATAGTTGTAGTAAGTCTCTATTACTGTATTTTTATAAATGAACTTATAACTAACCATTAAACTGCACATATACATATAACCGACGTATAAATGACTATTTTTCGAACTTGATCAGCGAGTTGCAAAATCATAATGGTTTCTGACAGGTTGAAACGATGGATAAGGAAGCATTGGTAAAAGTGAATGCCCCACAACCCGTTTTACAACATTAATTATGAGATCACTGCCAATACAACATCTTTTTTTTTACCGTTTTTGTTGAAAACAGATTGATCTTATAATCACATATCCAACTAAAGAACGCTTTGATTAATTTGACGGAAAACGAAGTTTGATAATGAATAGTAGAGCCACATCAACAATTGTAAACATCTTTATTGATCGTTTCATCATTCTGAAACGCTCATTAAAGATATTCAAAATTGTAGCCGTGGCTCTACTATTCATTAAAGAACATTTTATGATTAAAGTAGAAATCTAATTATATATATTTTTGACGCTACTGCTCAACTTTTTGGTTAAAGCATTTGAGAAAAAAAAAAACTCAAGTGTATTTATAGATTCGTATTTTCTCATTTATTAGAATCTATTAGGATTTTGTTTGTTGTTAAGCGCAGAGCTTCACGCTGGGCTATATGTGCTCTGCCTACCGTGAGTATCCCAACGTGATTTTTAGCGTTATAAGCCCTCAGGCTTACACTGAACCACTGGGGACATCAGAAGTTTAAGTAAATGTCTATCAAAATTTCACCTAAATTCATTCTTAGTAATTGAGACAAGTGTCACCTAGAAATTATAGTAGTTAACGTATTCAAGTGAAGATTATGTATCTTTAGTATCCTAAACCTTGACAAGTTTCAATTTATGTATTTCAAAATATTAATCACAGTCTCACTAAAGCACTACTGCCCCCTATAGTTTTCTGTTTGTAGCACATGGCTTGTTATTTTTCCTGGCAAGTATTGATTGCACGCGGCTCGAGCTAGTGGTTCTGTGAAGATCTTCTTTATTGCTTTCCGAAAGCGCGAGAGAAGTAGAGGTTAGTACCTCTGTTCGTCCGTAGTTCCGTGCACGATTCAACAGTACCTCAGCTCTAGCATTTGAACCAACCATCAAGTCTTATTTAATACTTTGCTCCTTTAGCAAAGCTAACAGCTTCTTAGCAATCAGAAACCACTTAGTTAAGTACAAATAAAGACATTAATCATTTGTCTTAATTTAATGAGTACTGTGTCGTAAGTTGGTGACACTGATATATGCTAAAGAAGACACATGTCAAAGCGTTGCACATATTTCTAAATATTTCATCTATTTCTAGATAATTTTATTAAAATCTCTAAAATTAGTCATTAAGCACCAGTCCACGAACATGAACATTCACATCCTATTGCTTAAATTAAAAACCGTGTCATTTATCACGGTTGTTATTTATGTTACCCACCTGAGCCAACAAAACGGCGGAGCTGCTGCGACATCTACAGGCAGAATAACCGAAGTGTTGACCCAGCGGACATCAGAAGGCCCCCAACTGTCCAGTTGTCCAGTGAGTGAGCTAATAGCCGATCTTCCAGTCTGGCGAGATGTACCCCACGGTCAAGACGTTGTACTGCGAACAGAAAACGTAAGTAACACATGTCACTTTACAACGTGATTAGATTGTTGCTGTTTTTTATCATCATATTTATTAAAAATAAGTATTCTCACACAGTAAAACATTCTCCCAAAAACAGATTGCTGAATATATTCATAAACACAGTTGTAGACAAGTGTTTCCAGATGATAGTCGTAACTTTTAAAACTTTTTATTAATGGTATTTCATAATTTATTGCACCAAAACCTTTATACATGGGGTGACGTAAAAGTCACAAATGATTATGATATGTCTAAGTCCTGCCCTTACAATGATTCTTTTAAGTCCTGTTTGGGTTTCACGAATTGTTTCTTTTTCCTTTTGCTATGAAATTGCTTGAGACGTCATTAGTCTTGCTGGAGTATATGGGAGTAAGTGAGATTGTGTCGTGATATTAACGGAGCACACGTTAACAGCTATAAGAGCAGAACTTAGAAAAAACATAAATGGTGGTGTACAAATTTTGTATCACTCTGTATGATTTAATTGTTTTACTTATTTACTGTGTTTAGAAATGTATTTTCATGAATAAACTAACATGTCAGTGCTAAATGAAAGATGATCAGAAAGCTTTAAAAAAAGTAGGTTTTATAAAACATCCAACTCTAAGATGTCATATGTAACTTATAACTACACGTAAAGAATACCATTTAAAGTTTTTTACGTTAATAGCTGATGAGTAATATATAATTATACAAAATATCAACATTATTTAAACAAATAAAGGATACTGACTCTGGTTAATCGCGTTCTCACAACAGTTTTTTTAAGCATCACACGCCCTTCGGAATTTCCTAAGCATTTTTCGACATTGACAATATTGAGAAAACCCTAAGCTGCTATGTTGTTATTTTACATTTAATGTTAATAAAATGTGTATTTTTAAACAAGTTTAAGTTGTAAAAATATAGAAATAAATAGAGTTTAGCTCAACTAAAATATTTAGTGTATCTTATAACAGGGTGGTTGGCCTTTGGAATTGGTTGCCTTCGGATGTGGTGGAGGCAATAAATTTAAGTGAGTTTAAGAGAAAGCTTAATAAGTATATGAATGATAAGAGCTGGCTTTAAGATTTTTTAAAATTTATTTACTAACGGTTTTAGTTTAGTTTAGACGATGGGACAGCCGAGATGGGCCAATAGGGCCCCTGTTGTCCCAAAACGTTATGTTATGTTAAAATTATACTGAGAATTATGTGCTTTTCCTGGTTTGTTGTTTCTTAACTGAACAAGTTCTGCACACCTCACTAAGTTAGTGTCTCTTAGTGATTTCATTTCATTTATACAAACGTCTGCATATTCCACTGAGTTAATGTCTCCGAGTTATTTAATTTTACTCAAATAATCAACTACATATCTCATTAAATTAGTGCCTTCTATTGAGTTAATTGTATCCGTAAATCCATCTGCATATTGAAATATAAAGATGTTTGCACAGATTAAACATATCCCTTACAGATACTTACTAAAATAGACATGCTTGTGTGAATGATTCCAATCACTTGCAGATGACAAATTAATGAAATAGCTATTTTTATGAGTACATTGAAACCAATAAGAAATAGTAATTTAGGTAATAGTGTTCATAACTAATTATCTTATTCGTACAGATGTTTGCATATATCGTTTGGGCAGCGTTTGGTTTTACTGAGACAAACATTATTAAATTTCGATTGTATAGTTTTGTGTCTAAATATTTCTCCTGTTTAATCTATATAAACAGTTTCTTTATACTCTCACAAATATTTCCATGTTTAGTTAATTTACTCTAAGTTTTTTGTTGTTTTTTCTTTGCATAGCTCGTCTAATTATGAGTATATTTTAAGAGCTTAATATGTATGTGTTTGAAATATGGCTTTTAGGAATGCAAAAATTATCATTGGTGGTTTTTACACGTACAAACATCTTTCAATTTCAATGGAAAAATATCTGTATATTTCAATTATTTAGCGTTTGGAGATGATTTTTTTTTGGCTTATACATTTCTACTTATTTCACTAGTTTAGTTACTGCGAATGATATATTTTATACAGAGATAAATCAATGCATGTTATATTTATGATAGATAACGCCGAGTCTTCTTTTATTTCGATGAGCAGTGTAACATTTCTTTGGATTCGATACATAAGCAAAACGCTAGTCCAACAAATTAGACTTCACAAACGTACACAGCAAATGTTATTTTACTACTTTGTTGTAAATTAATTGCATGTGGAGTTTTTTCATTGTGATTCGAAGATTTTTGCTCACTTCACGATAACTTTCTGTAGTTCATTTTCAGTTCATTTTTATTAATGTGCTTCCCAGTGGCACAGCGGTATGTGTGCGGACTTACAACGCCAGAAACCGGGTTTCAATACTCGTGGTGGGCAGAGCACAGATAGCCCATTGTGTAGCTTTGTTCTTAACTATAAACAAACAAATAAATTTTATTAATTTGTTACAATGATGCTGCAGAGGTATGTTCAGGAAAATGGGTGTTTATTAAATGTCTTAGAACCCTTAAAAAGTTCTTCAATGGTAGAGTGAGTAAACGAACAAATATAAAAAAATACAATGTTACTATGTATTTAAGAAATACGTACCTTGTTCTTGAACTATTAAATATGTCATAAATTATTTAAGATATTATGAATCTTTACCAACTGAGAACATAATAAATTACACATAAATATTCTCATGAAATTATATTTTAATTGCATATTTTTCGATTGAAAATTCCTCTTTATTTTGAGTGATATGCAAAAGAACATTGGTATGAGGCTATGGTGTTGTAGTGAAATAATTGTAAATTTAAGTTTACTATCCACCCATGGTTTGCCAGTTAAGTAATTATTTAGTTTGTTGTCAAGCTTATCCTTTAAGTTACCATGTTAAGTATTGGTTTGTTTGTTGTCTGGATTATCTATTAAGTAATGGTTTGTTTATTGTTGCGTTTGTCTTTTAAATAATAACTTGTTTGTCTTTAGGTACGTTTGTCAAGTTACTTATTTGTTATTCTTTAGGTTTGTCTGTTAAGTACTGATTTTTAGCCTGTTAAATACTTATTTTTTGTCAAGTTACTTCTTTGTTAGTCTTGAGATTTGTCTGTTAAGTATTGATTTTTTTATCATGCTGCTTCTTTGTTTACTCTTTAAATTTGTCTGTTAAGTACTGATTTTTTTTTGTCAAATTATCTTAGATTTGTCGGTAAAGTGCCGATTTTTTTTATGAAGGGACTTGTTTGTTAGTCTTTAGATTTGTCTGTTAAGTACTGATTTTTTGTCAAGTTACTTGTTTGCTACTCTTTAGATTTATTTGTTAAGTAGTGATTTTTGTCAAGTTACTTGTTTGATGCTCTTCAGGACTGTCTAAGTATAGCTTTTTTTGTCAAGTTACTTTAGTTTTGTCTGTAAGTACTGATTTTTTGTCAAGTTACCTTAGATTTGTCTGTTAAGTACTGATTTTTTTGTCAAGTTACTTTAGATTTGCCTGTAAGTACTGATTTTTTGTTAAGTTGCTTCAGGTTTGTCTGTCAAGTACTGATTTTTTGTCAAGTTACTTTAGATTTGTCTGTTAAGCACTGATTTTTTGTCAAGTTACAATTTATAGTTGTCTGTAATTACCGATGTTTGTCAAGTTACTTTAGATTTGTCTGTCAGTACCGATCCATTTTTGTCAAATTACTTATTTGTTACTCTTTAGGAATGTCTAAGTATAGATTTTTTGTCAATTTACTTTAGGTTTGTCTCTCAGTGCTTAACAGACAAATCTAAAGTAACTTGACAAAAAATCAGTACTTAAAAACAAATCTAAAGTAACTTGGCAAAAATCAGTACTTACAGGCAAATCTAAAGTGACTTGACAAAAAATCAGTACTTAACAGACAAATCTAAAGTAACTTGACAAAAAATCGATCGGTACTGACAGACAAATCTAAAGTAACTTGACAAAAAAGTACCGATTTTTTGTCAAGTTACTTTAGGTTTATCTGTTAAGTATTGATTTTTTTGTCAAGTTACTTTAGATTTGTCTGTTAAGCACTGATTTTTTGTCAAGTTACAATTTATAGTTGTCTGTAATTACCAATTTTTGTCAAGTTACTTTAGATTTGTCTGTCAGTACCGATCGATTTTTTGTCAAGTTGCTTATTTGTTACTCTTTAGGAATGTTTAAGTATAGATTTTTTTGTCAAGTTACTTTAGGTTTGTCTGTTAAGTACTGATTTTTTTTCAAGTTACGTCTTTAATACTTTTAGATTTATTTGTTAAGTACTGTTTTTTGTCAATTTGCTTATTTGTTGCTAATTAGGATTGCTGTTAAGCACTGATGTTTTGTCAAGTTACCTTTTGTTACTCTTTAAATTTTCCCGTTAATTACTAAATTTTCGTCAAGTTACTTGTTTGTTAATCTATAGATTAGTTTTTAATATTAATATTTGTCTTTAGGCTAGATTGTTAAGTACTACTTGTTTGTTTACACATTTATGAGTTTAAGTACCAGTTTTCTTGCCTGTAGGTTTACTTGTTAGGTCGTAATTTGACTGTCATTGCGTTTACATGCCATTATAACGTGTTACTAACCTAAGTAATACGTTAAGTAAGCTATCATTTGATACAGCACAGTAAACTAGAAAGTTTAAATTGCAATTAAAATGAGAATTTGGTAATTAAACTTCACAGACCTTCTTGGTAATTTTAAAACAAATATTTTTTTAACTTAAAGAAGTCAATGTGTTTTTTAGAATAGACAGTCTCGCCACACAGATGTCTGAGGAACCCCGTGTTTTCTTTTATACTGCATGATTCATAAGTAACGCAGACAAAAAGACCATTTCATATAATAACTGAACCAGGAGTTCAAACATTGAAAGAACTTTTTAAAAAAACCTTCAAACCAAGCGAATGTCATAAAACTCAAGAAATAAAACCTTTCAAATTATTTGAATAGTTTGTTTACTTTTAAAATATGTTTTAAAAATCTAATTTCACGTGGTGTTTTTTGCTAATTCC